TACGACTTTGTGCCAAAATGTTTAGTGATTTCAGGATGCCGTATTAATGCTAGCTGATAGAAATCTTTCATGCTACACGCAAAACATATAATGTAGATCTTAGAGCAGACAAATCATAGAATAAAACAGAAGGTTAGGTTATATTAGTAGCCAGGGTCCATATCATAACCAAAGAACATGAGCGGAAGAAGCTAGCTGTAGCGTCTGCAGTTTGAACATTTCTCCTTCGAAGTGTCAAGAAGTCATTACTTGTTGATCTTTTGCTGCAGTGCTGGAGGCTAACCCTTGGAGAGAAACACCTAAACCTGTATATGTGCTGACCCAGAGAGAGAACCAGCTGTGTACAATGAAGACCCGGAGAAACCGAAGGTGTGTTTATTTCTTTTAACTTAAGTGAGTATCCTAATTGTATTGGCTGAGATTCTTTTCCTCTTGCAGTGAGGTTGAAAGAGAGCTTGGGATGTTGTTCTCCAAAGGAGGAAAATGGAAAAATCGTGCAAAGCAGCCAGAAGCTGACACGAGATTTCAGATGCTTGTTGAGGATATCACAGAGGGAGTACTTGTAAGTATTTGTGTTGATTTCCTCTTTCAGTTTTCTATTTCATGACACTCTTGAGTTTTCTAACATATTTCTGTAAGATTTAGAGCACGGAAGATCCTGAAGCATCTGTAACCCTTAAGAAAAAGCCTTAAGTTAGTACTGATACATACTTAAACCAAAGAAGAATTGTTGTACGCTTGAAGCGTTACTATGTGTAGATATATTACATCCTTAGAGTATATATGTCTGAGACTATGACCAAATATGAGCTTTATCTTAGATTATTTTTTTTTGAAAAAATTTCTTTATCTGCACCAGTGTGTTCAAGAAACAACATTGTAGACTAGAGCTTCGAATTAGTTGATTGTTAGGTGATTAGACATCCTCCTACATATGCTGATCACTGACTGATGATTTAGACAGTTCTCTTTCTGTAAATTGTCCATATGCAATTCAAGATATCACATGGAGGATCAAAATTGCTAGAGAAAGAAATTGGGGAAGGAAAGAATAAGATTGAGAAGTTGTTTTCCTTGAGAATATTTGTCTCATTACATGAGGTCTTGATATTTCACATGTATGGAAGTGGTTGACTCTAGTATGCCAAATGAAATGATCATTCTATTTAGAGAATACGTTCTGGAAGCCATAGTTTTACAGGTGAATTCAAGTATTCAACAACTGATCATTCTATTTAGAGAAATCAGTTTTTGTTCTTCAATTTATTGATGTGTGTATATTTGTGATCTTATGAAAGGAAGAGTATATAGATAATGCAACAACCATCTCAGATCTAAAGCTCTATATGCTTGCAACTCTGATGAATAGAATGCCAAGACTCAGCACTCCCTTCAACCTAAAGAAAAGGAATCAAAAAATAATTGTGCTTCTATATTTTATACTGCTTGTACAAAGTTTTACTGAAGTTAAATTGCTGGTTTTATTTGAAACCTTTAATAGAGATGGAATGGTGTTTACTTTGTCAAAGTTTTTGGTCTGGTGAGTGGTTATTGAATATGGAAAGTGGGCAGTCCTGTCGTTGGAATATGCATTTTTCTGTGTAGACATGTTATTGCTTTTCACTTTCCCCAGGACTCATTCCATCCCAATGGAGGACTGCTCGTCTGTCGTTTATAGAATGCCTGGAATACCAAATTCACCTTTCCAAATAGCAAATCACACCTTTGTTTTATATCAGAAACAGTGGCGGAGCAAGGATTCACTAATGGGATTCAAAATATGAAGAAGAAAACACACGAAGAAGCCAAGGGGATTCAATATCTACTATATATACATAAAAAGTAATTTTAATCTTGTCTATACAATATAATTTTCCACATAAGAGGGTTCGGATGAAGCCCTTGCTCCTACGTGGCTCCGCCCTGATTAGAAAGTGTTCTTAGCATCTTCATCCAGAAATGCTAGAATTTTGGTTTTCCATCATCTTGCCAGCTCCAGCTTTCATTCTCCATTAACTTGACATTCCTGCTAAATAAAGGCTTTGTCATTTTGCGGCAGATAGATTTTGTTAGCTTTCCTATTCTAGTTTTTCTTTTTTAAATGTTTGAGAGAACATTATTGCCCTTTTTAGTAACTACTTAATAGACATATATTATAGGTAGACTATGTGAAAGGGAATAAGTGGCAAGAAGAGTGAGCATGTTAATCATTCATACTGTGATTTTCATTCATAGATAAAGTAGGTAGTTTACCTTTCTGAGTCTCTTGGCTAAGATCAAATGAAGTTATTAATTCGGAATTTCTTGTTCAACTGAAAACTAGATTAAGCAATTTTTTTCTGCAACCTAATTTGTTTTACTCTATGAAGGTATTTGAAGATGAAAATGAGGCTGCAAAATACTGTGACTTGCTTCAAGGAGGTGGTCAAGGTTGTGAAGGTGTTGCAGAAATAGAAGCTTCATCAGTAAGAAAAAAAGCTACAGAGCTACTTTCAGGCGTGAGTTAATTTTCTAGTCGTCCTAATTGCAACTTGAACCTTCTGTAGGTATTTGATCTATGCCGGAAGATGAGGGCACTGGCAGTTCTATTTCGTCGGGGCAGAACACCTCCGTTGCCCGAAAGCCTCAAGCTAAACTTAAGGGCACGCAAGCGCTCACTTGAAGACCAAGAGAACGTAATGTAACGTTGCTATGTTTGAGCTGAGTACAGGTGATCTCTCCTTTGTCTAGTATGCAAAAACATATTGGACACAGTAAATCAGTAATATAATTCTTCTATGTGCAGCTATTTTAGTCTGCGATAGATCTTACATGTATATAATAGTGCCACATAATTCTAATGGTTAATGTATATAAAAGATTCTCAACTCAACTGTATCCCTACCCTAAACATTATCAACATACCCAGTGTAAAAGCACAAGTGAGGTCTAGGGAGAGTGGTATGTATGCATACCTTACCCCTACCTTCGATAGATCCTCGACTCAAGTAAAGCATATCAAAGCAGCTAATTAAGCGAAGGGAATAATAATGAAGAAGTCATGATGAAAATACTGGAAAAAAGAACTGTAGCACAACAAAGTAATATGAAAATTGAAACAAAGGAAGTAGCAACTAGCAAGTATTAATATAATCGAAGAATAAGATAATAGGGGAGTAGTAATAAAAATATTGATAAGGAAAACTATACAGCAGTTGTCTACCTACTACTATGATCCTCACCCTTCATGTCACATTGTTCTATCTAGAGTCATATCCTCGGTAAGGTGTAGATGTGTCGCTCTATTACTTTTTCAACCTACTTTTACTTCTCCTCAGGGCCAACCTATCACATCTCCTCATTATTGCATCTGTGCATAACCATCTCACTGTCGCTTCCCTCATCTTGTCCACTTCCACTTAGTCCCGAATTTCTTCTTTCCTAATCCTATCACTCCTAGTATGACCACACATTCGTCTCAACATCCTCATTTTTGCTATTTTCATCTTCTGAACGTGCAAGTTCTTAATGGGCCAACATAGATCTTAGCTGCAATCCTGTAAAAGCTTGTTTTTTTATTTTTAAGAAAGAGATTACAGTCTTGTTGTCTCAGATTGACAGTTGATCTTTTCTGTTTCATATAATAAAATATTGAGTTCATATCGACAATTTGTTTGTTGTAATATTTAGGCATAAATTTACACTCCATATGAAAAGCAGTTGATTCAGATGAATCCACTATATATCCGGAAAAGTTGCTGCATGCATCTACATATGATCCGGGCAAAAGAACATGGATGTGCTAGCTAGGCACAATAAATTCAAAAATTTAAGAATGAAGCACGCAAGCCCTACTTTTATGGATTATATTTGACTTGGATGGTAACAAGCATATATGAAAAATGTAGGAGCATAATTCTGAATATCTGGAGGATCTCCTTATTACTGACTTGACTTTGCATGTTCTATGGGATCCTCATTTCAAGCAAATTGAACGTGAATGGAAACACATTGGTCACATAACAATGATTTTCTAATTTCGATAAGATCCAGCTTATTATTCAGCACAAAAGATATATGAATCCGTAAAATGTTTATGTTTACGCCAAAATAAAAAAAAAACACAGGGTCCTTCTGATGAGCTGCAGATTAAATAGTGAAACATATATATGTAGCCGTCAAAAGGACTGTCGGTAATATGCTAACTACCGTTGAAACCACCATCCTCAAATAATTATTTAATCCAGCAAATACCAAAATAGAAATAATTGACTTATTTCATACAACTCAAAACAAAATATAATCTTTGACATTGGTTTCATTTCTCTTTGATTATTTGGAAAAAAGTATTAGTAAACTGAATTTGAAAAATATATATTTTGGTTTGATAAACAAAAATTTGACAACTTGAGTTTATATAATGTTAAAGATAGTATCTAATATATTTAATAAATATTTATCATTTATCATATTTTTTTTACTCAAGGAAGAAATAATTACTCAAATAAATATGTTAACATAAATTTTGTCACTCTCTCACACAATATTTCTTAGTTCAAAACAATATACTAATATTACATTTTTTTTTTTGGCGTTTAGTTGACGTATCCAATTAACCATAAATTCTGGAATTTAAATCTTTTTAATGAACGAAAATCCACCATCAATATCCTTAAGGTAAACTCATTCATATGTAAAAGTTCTCAGATCAAGTTCACGCAAATAGAGAAAATAGGTAATTAGTTCTGAATTTGAGATCTCTTATTTTGAATTAAAGATTACTTGTTCAATCAACTCAAGTATGTCAATTTTTTTAAATTTGAATCTTTTATCTTTTAAAAGAAAAAAAAATTGATTTTCCTACTATATTAATTGATCAAAAAGTCATTAGCAAAGGTGTTTGAAAAGGATCTAATTCTATTGACAAAGTAATAGAAGAATATCCATTAAATCACATTTTAAGAAAATAAATAAATCAATTTATACTCTTCTCTCTCTCTTTTTTTTTTTCCATATAAATAAAGAGGAAGAGAGAGACTCAAAACTAAACTGTGTACACACATTCAAAAGAAACGGAACACACGAGTCAATTGATCCATTATCAATCCAAATGAGTACAAGTGAAGGGAGCTCCGGCTCATCGGCTGCCGCCGCCGTCGAAGTACCGGTGGTATCAACGGAGAAGAAGAAGGAAAAGTCAAGAGTGAGCAAGACATCGCAAATACTGTGGCACGCTCATCATAACGATGCCGCTGCCGTACGGAAGCTACTAGAAGAAGATCGGACGCTTGTTCAAGCTAGAGATTACGATAATCGAACTCCACTCCACGTTGCAGCGTTACATGGCTGGATCGATGTTGCAAAGTGCTTGATTGACTATGGCGCCGATGTCAACGCTCAGGATCGTTGGAGAAACACGGTAAAAAAATTGCATTTTCTTATTTCCAGTAAATCTTCATACAGTATAGGTTATGTGCCTAAGCTTGTTAGGTGTGTCTGTATATGAAACTGATAACTGGTAGTAGCATGGTAATTTGCTTACCTTATCCTGATTTTGGAGCAAAATTGTGATAGCTGTTGATCTCTTAAATCTTACTGAAGTTACCTCTTGTCTTGTTATGAAATGAAAACATTAGGCATCAGAAATTGGAATTTTAGTCTTCAGCTATTAAGTGATGTCTTGTGATCAATCAGGAGTCAAAAAGTGTGCGGGATGTTACCACTTACCAGTGAAATTCATGTGGCATAGGTTGATTAACTGTTTGATAAAAAAATTAACTGGATTTTAGATTATTGAAAATACGAGTTTGCACATTTCTCTGGTTTTGCATATTTTCGTCCATGTTTTTAATGTGCCTGTTGTGACACTGACTTTTCTATGCCATCCTTGATTCTTGAGTGAATTTCACTAATCTGCTGCTTTGATCTAAGTTTTCAATTGTTTGTGACAGCCTCTAGCCGATGCAGAAGGCGCTAAGAAATCTGCCATGATTGAATTGTTAAAGACATATGGCGGGCTATCTTATGTGAGTTACATTCCTTTTCCTTTTGATATATCTTATATATCATAACAGTCGTTTGCCATTTGCAAAAGCTTGTATTTATCAACATTTAATGCATCAACTTGTTCTTAGTTAAAAGGTATATTAGCTAGCATATTTATCAGGCTTCTAGCTCTGTTTCTGTACAGCCATCCAGGTCTTGATGAGCTAGCAAAGCTGTTTATTAACTAATTAGTGAATGAAATGTCCCACATCGGTAAACGAATGGAATTCTGGGCTCCTTATTAACTAGCTAGCATATTTATTAGGCTTCTAGATTGATGGCATGATTAGGAGATCATTTACCTGAGTTGGGCAAAAATCTTTTACTTTTAGCAAATAACTGATTGGAGCTATCGCCTTAATAATGAGCCAAGAGCTAATGGTTGCTGGTACTATAACAAGAAAATAATCTAACAGCGTTGGAAGCAGGATGTTCAATTCAATTCTTCCCAAGTCACTGAACAACTGTTTTACATTATGTCATGTTGTGCCACTTCAAGATTTTCTTTACATAATTATTGAGAATTACTTGATTTTTCCTGAATATGCGAACGGTGTCTTTGATTTCTTAGGATTGGTCTTTAAGAGCCTTTAATGTTTTAATATATGCTATAGGGACAAAATGGAAGCCATTTTGAACCAAGGCCTGTCGCCCCACCTCTACCAAAGAAGTGTGATTGGGAGATTGATCCTACTGAGCTGGACTTCTCAAATTCTGCAATCATTGGAAAGGTATGTTTTGCTATACTAGAAGTGCTGTTATTTAGCTTGTTGGAGGTTAATTAAAGTTTGTTTAAGCTACCCTGTCCAGTATCTTTTCAAATGAATTGGCAACTGTAGTATACAAAGATAGCTACTCGTGTACCATTTTTTGTGTTTTTTCAATAAAATCTTTCAATCCGTGTTGTATTAGTGCATGACTGGAAGTCTTTTGTGAAGAGGTTTCTCCCAAATATAAGCAATTGAAGCGAATTTATGATGATTAAGCTAACACTTGTTCTATGAGGTGTTGATGAATGAAAAATCTCAACTAATCTAATTTTTAAAATTTTAAAATGTGTGGATAGTTGTAGAGGAGTGAATCTGTTTAGTACTGTGTTTAACATTTTATTTCATTCCAAAATAGAAAGTGTCTCATAATCAGGAAAGCTGCACAATTATTGTGCTTGGAGCTGTCGTTCTTTGGTGTTTTTGATTGACGCTTCCCTTTGGTATTTTTATATTTTGTCTATAGTTTAATGACTGAGATAATTCTATTTCCTTATTATGCGGTTACTATAATCCTAAACCTACTTACAAGAAAGAAGAGGGACAGTCTCTGGTAACTGGCTGTCCATTTTGCTTCAACCCATTTATCTTTTTAACTATTTAGTTTTGATACTGTTGTGCTTGATTTCAAATTGCTTAATCTACTTTTCATCATTGATAAAAAATTGCCAGCGAGGTTGCCATTTATGTATCTAATATGGAAGCTGATATTGATAGGGGTCTTTTGGTGAGATCTTAAAAGCTTGCTGGCGTGGAACACCTGTAGCTGTTAAACGCATCCTCCCAAACCTTTCAGATGATCGATTGGTGATGTAAGCTCTATTGTGGGGTTAGCACTACAATATCCTGTATATATGATTCTGATATGTTCTGCTGTCTGCTGCTGTTGTCAAGTTTCACAGTTTTCTTTTTGGGTGGGTAGGTGTGAAGAGTGAGGTTAAGGAGGACAGGAGTCTAGCTTTGGTCTCCTCTGTTATATATTGACTTTTAAAGTATTCCACATCATTGACCAAAACTATAACAAAGAAGATGCTGCTTTTGCAAGCATGTCACATCCTCTAATTATCAATAAATCATATTCTATTTGTTAAGAATCTTTACTCTGCTAATATTGTACGAGGACCTGGAATTTAAGTGGATCAAGAAGCTTCACATGTTACCCAAGGCTGTCAGCATTCTCAATTCACAATTGTCTCTTTAAGCTTGATGCAGATTTATATAATTATAAAAGTATGCTGTTAGTTAGACCCTGCTGCAGTAATTAATTTTTGATATTTTAATATGATACTGATCTCTTCTTTTTTTTTGGGATAACTGAGAAATTTGTCTGTGACCCGCCCTTTGGAATATGATACTGATCTGCCTAATTTAATTCCTCTCATGCAGTCAAGATTTCAGGCATGAGGTAAATTTGCTGGTGAAGCTCCGTCATCCAAATATAGTGCAATTTCTTGGAGCTGTTACTGAGAAAAAACCCTTAATGTTAATAACTGAATACTTGAGAGGGGTATGTGGTTTTATTTTTTCTCTATATTTTGATTGAACATTGAATTATTTCTCTTTATCTTATGATGTACCTGTGCTGATTTGGTGCATATATATGTTGTAGGGCGATCTGCATCAGCACCTCAAGGAAAAAGGTGCTCTTACACCATCTACAGCAATCAATTTTGCTATGGATATAGCAAGGTAGTATGAATAATTGTTAGCATTTCATACTTCATTTTCCTTGAAAAACTCAAAATTCTCTTGATTTCGTCTGATTCTTGAAACTCTTGTAAGCTATGTTTTGAGTTGCCTATTTACACCGACTGATGTTTTTAAGCATCATTGATGGACTAAATGTGCTCAGCCTGTTGCTGTTTACTTTCTGTCCAAAACTCATCTTCTTCACAGTAGCTGGTCTGTTGAATTAGCTGTAGGGAAAATACAAAAAATGTGCATCCAGAAGATGGTCTGCATAACGTGAACAAGTTACTATAACTCTCGGTAGATCTTTCTGATGTGGCATAGTTTCTGTCGTTTTTGCCTCAGCATACCATTTTATGAGATACTGTAGTTATCTGACAATTTACCCAACATTCCAATGCCTAGTTTTACATTTTAAAAATTGCATTGCGTAGTTACTTATGCAATGTTTAATGTTTTTGTGGGCAGAGGCATGACTTATCTTCACAATGAGCCAAATGTTATAATCCACAGAGATCTAAAGCCCAGGTCTGTTTTTCTCTCTTCATGGCTCTGCTATTGTTATGATTCAATTAACTTTAATGCGGAATGTATCAATGTTTCTAGGAATGTTCTTCTAGTCAATTCCAATGCAGACCATTTGAAAGTTGGAGATTTTGGATTAAGCAAACTAATCAGGGTTCAGAACTCCCATGATGTTTATAAAATGACTGGGGAGACAGGGAGCTGTAAGTGACAATGCCATAATTCTCCCTCAATTGATTAACATATTCTTTCAAATGTAATTATTTGTTTGTGATATCTTTTTCTGTAATAAAACAATAGACCGCTATATGGCACCTGAAGTTTTCAAGCACCGGAAGTATGACAAGAAGGTTGATGTTTTCTCTTTCGCCATGATCTTATATGAGGTAATTCTGACTTCTAGGCTCTGCCTATTAGGATTGGGAATAACATGACATGAAACAAATAATGCATCAATGAATTTTCTATTGGTGCAGATGCTAGAGGGTGATCCACCATTATCCCACTATGAACCATATGAAGCAGCCAAGTATGTGGCAGAAGGACACAGGCCTATGTTCAGGGCAAAAGGTTTTACCCCAGAATTGAAAGAGTAAGTCCAAACTGGATCTTGATGCTCCCTTTTTTTTAAGCATCATACAGTATACAATATCTTTAGCTATGTATGGTGTGGGTTTTCAACATGGACAAATGTGGCACAGTTAGAAGATGAGCTATGAAAGCATTTTTAGGTACTACAGCTTGGAAAAGATTCAGGAAGGGGTATCTGGGATTTCCAAAAGTGAGATTACTTGCTGTGAAGGTCCTCTTTCAGTGAGCTGTAGCCTGTAGGCATCCTAATTGCAGAAAAAATTGAAACATGATATATGCTTTTTTTTCTTCCTCTTGCAACCTTAGGTTTTATATATGCACTGCGAAGTTTATTTCTTTTGACTATTAGCCAACGCAAGAAGATGGTGGGCAGTGTTTTGTTTTATGCTTTTCTAAAGACAAATCAATTTTTTGCAGGTTGGTAGAGGAATGTTGGGCACCAGATATGAACAAGAGACCCTCATTTTTGGATATTCTAAAAAGACTTGAAAAAATTAAAGATGCTCTACCCTCGGAGCATCATTGGCACCTTTTCACTTCATGACATCAAATTCCAGAGCTGACCAGATATTTCGTTGAATTCTCCCATCAAACGCACTATTTGAAATTGATATGTTTGTCGGATTGTGCATAGGATCAACTGGCAAAGGTCTGCAAAAACTGTTGCTGTACCAATTCTTTATGCCCCATTCAACATTCCAGCTATGCTTGTTGTAGATTTTATCAAGATATTTCCACAAAATATCAAGTAGAACTGTGTGTCGAGAGATTTGTAACAAATTTCTTACATTTGCTTCTTTTTTAAAATGTGATTCCCAGTGGTATTGAAGTGGCAACTGTATTTTTAACCTTTATTATTCGTTTGTTTTATGATAAATGCAATTCTCGCTTTTTATTTAAAAGGTTACAGACATTTCCGGTCTAAAGTGAAGTTATAAAATGTCTTGTGATAAAAAGAATTCACTGATTTATCTACCTACCTGTTTATTCTTCTTCTTGAGAGAGTTATTTCATAAATTGTTTGCTGTGACAGTTACTCTTTCTTCTTTTGCTAAGCATGCTTTTGTCCCAGTCCAACTACTATTAGATTTGTCAGTTCACCACTAGCAGAAAGGGTGAAATATATTTACTTTTTCTGTCGATGCATTGTAGGAGGATGGAGCTATTGGAAACAAATTCTCTACTCCCAAGGTAAGGGTAAGGTTTGCCTACGCTCTACCCTCCACAAATCCCACTTATGGAATTACACTTGGAAACTTTGTAATTACATGCAATGATACTGTGGCTATAAAATTATGACATCAAGGTAAAATGAAAAGTTCGACAAGTAAACTCCAAATAAAATGGAGACAGACTAAATAGGAAAATGTGTCATATAAAAGGACAGAACGAGTAATAGTAATAAACTAAAAAGGTCCAAGTTCTCTCTATCATAATTAACTCAAAAACATTGCCTTCCCTCTTCAACTGTAATCTATGGAAAATTCTACACATACATGTTGCATTATTAAGCTATCAGAAACAAGATTAGATAAGCTTTTTCTTTTCAAAGAAGGTCTTCAAATGCCACAACTGCAATCCTGCCACACCTAAACACAAGAAGATTGACAAGCCAGTCATCCAAGCCATTTTGGAGTTGGTAGATCTGTTCAGTTCCTGCATTTCAGCTTCCCTGCATCGTGCCAAAAAATTATTTAAGCGACAATTATTAACTATGTAGCTAGGACTCTTCAAAAATGTTGCAGCACTTGTGTTTGATCCTCCAAAAATAGTACTCCCTCTGTTTCAATTTGTTTGTCTTACTTTCCTTTTTAGTTTGTTTAAAAAAGAATGTCTCTTTCCCTTTTGGCATCTATGTGGTTCCAACTTTCCAAATGACATGTTTAAGACCACAAGATTCAATTACACATTTGACATATCTTTAAATTATGACCATAAAATTCAAAAGACTTCTTTTCTTCCTTAAACTTTGTGCCAAGTCAAAATAGGACAAACAAATTGAATCGGAGGGAGTACTAACCTGGGATGATTTGACATGCATCGACAACAATTTTGAAGATTGGAACTTAAAATATTAACAAATGATAAACTCACCTTTCACGGAGGAAAAACATCTCATCATGGATGGCTTTAACATTTTCCAGCATCTTCTTTAGTTCAAATTCCATTACCTATTAAGATGACAAGAGTTTATGTTAGTCACAATTCAGAACTCCACAAGGTGCAGTCAACAAGTTCATGGTCAATTTCCTCTCTTCAGAAGCCCCTTTGTCCGGGCACAAAGTTGACATAACTAAAAGTTTTTGAAATACAGGCGCACACTTCTGCCAACAATCTTTTTTCTACTACTCTAAGCTTTGATTTAATAGGACTCTAGACTATTGTTTAAAACAAAGAAAACTAGTCCTGATTAAGAACAACAGAATGCAGAAAATTTTTACTGAAAACTTAAGATTATAACCCTTGTTGTTTTCCAAGAACATATTAATAACACTTCGCGAGCATGCATCATAACATCAATCTCACATGAGGATTGAGCCATAGGCCGTCAGCTATTGAAATTCCTTTCTTCTTTCAATAAGTAGCAAGGCACTAGAATTCTAGTGACATGGTTTTATTTCAGTACCTCTTTTAATGACAGAATGACAGTAACTAAAATTATAATTACTAACAGGCTAATGGGCTTGTAGGCTTTTTATTCTTTTGCTGACAGTAACAAGAATCTGGAAATAATATCTACCAAATCCGAGTTACTTTGTAGGGATGGTTTTTAGCCTATTCTTCTTTCCATTCTTTATCTGTATCTGCTTCTATTCCAGAGGAGGAAAGTACAAAAATGAAACCAGTAAATAATGCCTTATAACATCAATAGCTGTAGCAGCTTCTCCAGCAGAAGTAATAAACACTAAAGTTCAAGCTGACACGCACAGAGAAACATGAATCTCATTATATGTGCAAATAAATGCACAGAAATTTAATACCTTGATTAAAAATGTTGAATAATAAATTCATCCTCATATTTTGAGATTCCCTACTATTTAATAAAAGTTCATTTACATCTAGTAGTTCCATCAGGTAGAGACTCCAGTCTCCAAGTTTAAGGGCATGAATGAGGTGAGAGGGGCTCAGAGACCTCAGGATAATGCAGAAGCTACATCATAATTTTCCTGTTTCCTTCGAACTAATGATGTAGTCTATGAGACTTCTCGAGTGCAAATTAAACGTGCACAAGGGATTCTTGTGAGCTACATTCTATATTTAGTTTTCATGAAACCTAAGGATGAGTGCGAACTGTCATATCATCTATGCAAATGCATATCTAACACAAGAAGAAAATTGTGTTAACATGTAGATAAAAGAAGAAAATTGACTTACTTCAACAGAACCTTTCTTGGCAACACTCGTCCAATCCTTAGCAGCTACACCAGTCTTCCAGTCAAAATCGAGAGTAACAGTTACAGGGGGCTTGTGATCAGCAGCAAAGAAGCAAGTCATGTAATCCCCAGCTTCTGCTGCCTCAAAAGCAAAATGCCCTTCAACAACATTGTCCCCTTGATGATAGGTATTTCCATATGTAGATGTCACCTAAATTACATAGATCAATTTTAAATGGAATATTTTCCTTGCATGTTCGATAATTGGAACTCAATTTAGCTCAAAATTGAAGCTTTACAACTCCAGCATAAAAAACACATTTTAAACCAAAAACATCCAACACACACAAACCATTCTTGATTACTCATAGATCGACCAAGAAAACTCAAACTTTAACATAAACGGATCAAATAAAGAAACCCCATTTGCTTAAACATCAAAATAAATAAAAATAACAAGAAATTACCCTGACAGTGACTTTGTGAGTATCAGGCAAAGGATAACCTTCATTAGGGTTAACAATATGGTACTTGCCTACAGTCATGGCATGGCTCTTAATATCTTCAGCTATGCATTTAGTGAGACCAGATTGCAGATCAAATCGAAGGGATTCCACTTGAGTAGCAATAAACCCCAAAATTACAACTACCAATTGGATGTTTCTTCTCTGAATCATCTTGTGAGTAAATTCAAATAAATTATTGCTAGATTTTTTACTGATGGAATGTTGGTTTGGAGAAGAGATTCAGATTGAGAGGGATGAAGGATTATTATTATTAATTATAGTAAATAAATAAAAAAGTTTTATTTTCTTGAGGGTTGTAGGCTGTAGAGAAACAATCCAAATTTTGCTCTCAAAGTCTCAACTATACAAATATTTTATTTGCTTCTATTTTAATTCAATTGAATATAAAGTTTAAGATTATAGTAACAAAGAATTCAAATTTTGCAGTTACTAAATAAGAATAATTTGGTAATTCTTAATGGATATAATATTGGCTATTAAATTATATTTATTTCAATATGATTGGGTCTCTATTTGTAGTTGGCCTATTTATGAATTTGCCAAAAAACTATCTTCACTTCAAAGGAACGTTTCCCCTCTAATTTTGAACCCCTTTTCTAATTTTAACCTTATTTCTTTCTCCCAAAATTCTACTTTTATCATTTTCTTTCCTGAAATTAAAATATTAAATCCAGATTTTCCTTGTAAATAAATTATTTTTCTTTTATATTTTTAAAGGTGGTGGTGAAAGGGATAGATAGAAAAGGAAAGACCTTTAAATTTGCTAAAAGTGATGTTGATTGGATTGAAAATGTTAAAATTACCATTGCATTTCTTTCTGAGTAGATTTGAAACTCTTAAAAAAGTGTTATATTAATGATTTATATAATTAATAAGATGTATATAAATAGAATTATCAAAGTTACATACTTCTCTATATTTATTTGACATTAATAAATATTTTAAGTTTTTTCGAGTTTATTATTGATTCTTAATGTTGGAGATATATGTTAATTTATTAAAACCCAATAACATTGAAAAGGAATGCATCAGTCATTTCCTTACGAGAGTAATCGTCATTAAATGATTTAATTAATATAAGTATTTTATCATAATGTTTATATTAATATTAGTACCTTGAAAAATGATTGAGTGAAAAATCTATTTTTTAAATAAAAAATAAGTAAAAGTGAACGGAACCAGCAATTATTTTTATTACATTATTAATATATTCATCTTATAAGGAAATTGTACGTCAAATTACATGCTTTATTTAGATTCTTTTTATTACAATTATTCTGTAATTATAAGATAATTAACCTCTCACGTGTTATTCTAAAATCTTATAGTAATTATATACACTATATGACGCACTATCTGACGTATTATGGGTCTAAGAGAATCTTCTTTTTATAGTAATTATTTTAATTTAATTTGTGAGAAGAGAGAATTTACAACACACACTTGATTAGTTTAGTCACAAGTTAAAGTCCCTTTATGCCACTTCACTTTGATTTATAAACTAAAAAACAATTTAACAATATTCTAAATTAATTCAATATAAATAATTTTGATTTATTGACAGATAGGAGCTTAATTTAAAATAGCAAGAAGTCTCTTTTAAATTTTTTATATTTAAAAATTTATTATATATGGATTGACTTTTTTCTTACTCCAATTAAAAAGAAAAAAAAGAGGAAAGCAACACATCTAAATTAATAACACATAAAAGAGTAATTAATTTTCCATTACTATATTTTGAGTGTGTTAATTTGCACTGTTTGTTTAATACTATTACGTAAAAAGTACATTTTTGGGTACAAAATTCTAAGTTAAATATTTATTCTTTTTTTCTTTCATGATAATCTTAGATCTCTTCCATCTCTGTCATTTTCTTCCTTAGATCCTGCTACTTCAAGATACTGTACAAGTTTTTATCTTTTTACAGAGAAAAAAGTTTTCAGAAAATTCATTAAAAGCATTTTTTTTTTCAGATTTAAAGCATATTGACTATTGTCCCTACTACAGCTTTCTCCTTGTGCTACATTCTTGACACCCCTAAAAAAAATTAATTAATTTCATCACCGCTTCTCATCTTTTACTTCTTCATAGATTTCCCATTTTCCCCATTTCTTGGTTTTGCTCAAAGTTGAGATTTTTTTTCCATATTGGATGTTGAAAAGTTCAGTTTTTTTTCATTTTGGGTTTGAATTTTTTTGTCAATCTGGGGTTATAATTTTCCATTTTCCTCATTTCTTGGTTTTGCTCCAAAGTTGAGATCTTTTTCCATATTGGGTGTTGAAAAGTTTAAATTTTTAGTCAATCTGGGGTGATAATTTCTCATTTTCCAATGTGGTTTGAGTTTTGATGCAATTGGGTATTACCTTAACATGCATGTACATATGAGGAATTTGTGTATGAAGAGATTTGAGGGGTTTGGTGATTTGGGGTTGAAGTATTGGCTATGAAGAGTGAAGAGGAGGTAAAATGGAGGTTAGATCCGAGAGTGAGGTTGTTAGAAGTGAGAAAGTACTACCATTACAAGCGCAGATGATACAGAGGACTAGATTAAAAGTTTTGTTTATAAGGGTTTGTTCCAGCATTTTGATATGGACATGTTTGGTTCAGCTTATTGCTGTTTGGGAGCTTTATAATCCACGTTGGTTTTCGGGTTTTACTGGTTATACTACTAAGATGTCTGTTCATGTTGAAGAGACTTTGCTTTCTCCTTTGCCTCTTCTTCCACCTAGTGAGTTTCTCTGAGCTTGAATCTCTATTAGTTACATGTTTTTTTCCAAAGTATTTAGTTAATTAAATGATGTCATTGAAGTATGTGATCTTTCCGTTTATATTAGTAGTCGTGTATTGCTCTTGTAGTTTCTTGTCCTTCGATTTCTGTTAATGTATATTGTTTCTTGTACCTCAATTATGATATTTATTGTAGTTTCTGTTCTGTTATTATATGTTGTTTTTATTATTATTGGTTGTTTTTTGTACTTGTGTTACTTCTTTTTCGGAACTGCTTTGGACTGTTTTTCCTTAAGCCAAGGTCTATCGGAAACAACCTCTCTACCTTTGAGGTAAGGGTAAGGTCTACGTACACTCTACCCTCTTCATATCCTACTTTGTGGGACTATACTGGGTATGTTGTTGTGGTTGTTAGAGTATATGATCTGTTTGCTGTATATTAAGTTGGTTGTTATTCTTTAGCTAATAACCTAACACCAATGGAAGTGAAGGATCCATATGGGAGAATAGAGATGCGTAGTAGTTGGGATTAAAACATAGTTGTTGTTGTTACACTTGTGTGAGGTCTGGTAATTGATCCGCTCTGTTTAGTATAGTTAGGAACTTAGGATAAATAGAGACTTATAGAACGTGAGATTTAAAGAACTTCTAGTTTTAGAGAATCCCTAATTTGCTGAAAACGTCAAAGTTTAGCATTTGAATGCAGGCGCCCCTACCAGAGTGGAATGCAAAAGAGGATTATATAGTTGATGCTAACTAGTTTGAGATTGAGGCGAGTTAATTGATTGACATAGATTGAGAGGGAAAAAGAAAAAGAAGAATTAGGAGAGAGACCTGAGCATGGTATTCATAGTTTTTGAGATCTGATGGTTTGGAAGTACGACCTTAACAGATCTATAATCTAGAGAGAGCTACCAATGGGATGTCTATAGTCAGTTTGTCTTCCTATTTTTAGTTTTGTCCCTTCGGTGTCCAATTGGCAATAAGAAAAATGTCAGCTTAAAAGGTTTGTGGTGAGAATTAGGTAAGGTTTAAATTTGGTTTCAAAGGTCTTCTTTTCATCCCAAATCGGTATCCATTTATGGTGTGTTTTCCTCTGCTAATTGATTTACTTTCGATTGATGCTATTATATTTCCCCATTCCAGGTCCTGTATTCTTGTGACATACTGCTTTATTAAGCATTCCTGAAAAATGGAACATAATACTATATATTCTGAAAAAGTTAATGAAGTCACCATGTGTGAAATAGGGAACCTAAACTCATGTTCCTTGACTAACTAAGCATAGATCCAATGAGAGACTCCATTAGCTTTTCAGAAATCAGAACATATATACTCTTCCCATTTTAAAAACTATATTCTGAAAAGCTAATGAAGGTGCTCATTGGATCTATGCTTAGTCTGTTGACGATAATCAATTGGATTAGTAAGAAGTGCTTCCCGAGAGATAAAAACAAATGTTTTTTTTGAAGGGAAGTCGAGAAAGGGACTGGATGAGAGACTTTCTTTTCTAGTCCTCTCTGTAGCATTCCTTATTACAGCTTTCTTTTTAATATTTAAGACAGAAATTTCTCCATCCGAAATAGGGTGAAATGTCTCATATTCTTTCTATTTTTCCCGGGGTTAATCGTCTAGCGTGAATCATGAAGTAGTGTAAACATAATTTTTCCTGATGTTTTTGAACAAATTAATGCTGCTAGACGAAATGTCACAACAATGAGGAACTAGTAAAAGAAAGAAATGTCTCAATTATAAGGGGATAGATGTAAACATACTTTTATGGATGAAAGTACATTTTAAGTTGCTGGAGGCAACCTTTTTCTTGCAATATGAGACATTGTGTTTCAGTTTATATATCTCCATGTGCAATTGTACACTTCCGCTAGCATTTTGGTGTAGGTTGGATTTTGTAAATGATGTAGACACATTCTTAGACTTCATCAGTTCCTTTCAGTTTAGAGTAGGAATTGATCTTTGTAATCAGTTATACAGATGTCAGCACAATATTAGTGCTGTTTTGAATCATTAAAGATTTAGTTAATTATCCAAAAAACTTATTTATCTGCCATTCTACTAACTAAACATTCAGTGACCAAAACTCCAAAAGTACTGTTACCTAGTCTCATCAGTGTACCAGTAATAGGAACTGTATCTTTCTATGAGTTCCAAATTCTGCTTCTTCTAACATTCATAACAATTTTGACATATGACATTATGCAGGAAATTATACAAATAATGGGTTTCTTCAAGTGTCCTGCAATGGTGGCTTGAATCAAATGCGTGCAGCCGTTAGTATTTGTTCTTCTTTTTTTTTCTTTATACATTCTTGTCCAATTCATATGGAAAGAAAGTCAAAAAATCCGAAACTGTATCAAACTCCTAATCTGTAACTAATTCTGCCATCTTTTGAATGTAGATCTGTGACATGGTGACTATTGCACGTCTTTTAAATCTAACTTTGGTTGTCCCAGAGCTTGATAAAACATCTTTCTGGGCAGATCCTAGGTATTTCTGGTGTTATGTAGAAGTAGTTCTTTGACCTATTGCTTCGTGTTTTATAACAAGTTGTAACATTTCTTGGCAGCAATTTTGATGATATTTTTGATGTGAGACACTTCATTGATTCACTAAGAGATGAAGTTCGGATAATAAAGAGACTGCCAAAGAGGTTCAGCAGGAGGTATGGATACCAACTGCTAGAAATGCCTCCTGTTAGCTGGTCAAATGAAAAGTACTACTTGCAACAGGTTTATCTACTTGCAATACATCCTTGTCTTATTATCAATTTGTGATTGACCTACACTGTCGATTCTTCTTCGTGACTGTGGACATTGTCATTTGTCTGTCATTTAGAAGACTAGTGCTTAAATCTTATACGATACATCTCAACTTTCAAAGTACTTCTCTTTTTGCTGTATGTAGTTTCATGTACTGCTTTTAATACTGGAATCAATCTGCATACAATGATTCTAATACCTTGATAATTGAATAGATCTGCTCTGATGCTATATATGCCTCATCAACAGTTGTAATTTAACCTGCTTTAACACATTCGGATTACTATTGCAGATTCTGCCTCTCTTCAGCAAGCATCAAGTAATACATTTCAACAGAACAGATACTAGGCTAGCAAACAATGGGATTCCTCTTGAGCTTCAAAAACTCAGATGTCGTGTGAATTTCCAGGCATTGAAATTCACTCCAGATATTGAGGCTTTGGGAGAAAAATTGGTACGAATGCTTCAGGAGAGAGGGCCATTTGTAGCATTGCATCTAAGATATGAGATGGATATGTTGGCATTCTCTGGTTGCACCCATGGCTGCACTGAGGAGGAAGCTGAGGAGCTCAAACGGTTAAGGTGATCATCTCAGAACAACTGTTGTATTTTAGTTTTATTCTCTTTTTTGTTTTTTTCTTTAAAAAAATATGGAAAGAAGTTGATCCGCCTTCGTCAGCCTGCCCTCGTCATGGGCATAATAAAATTTGTGGATTGGATACCAGTGGGTTACTAACATAAACTATGAGCTGCTGTTGTGACAATGACATTTACTCATAAATTTTATTTTCTATCTCAAGATTTTGAAGTTTTACATTGTTGGATGATTTAATGAGTTCACTTTGTTCTCCCACTCCCACTGATACAGTTTTCTCTGTTTCACCCTTTTGTCTTGACCAACACGCAAACTTGTTGTCTATATAGTAAATTCCTTTCTGGTTGCCTTTGTTTCCTTAGGTATGCATTCCCTTGGTGGAGGGAGAAAGAAATTGTATCTGAGGAGAAGAGATCTCAAGGATTGTGTCCTCTCACCCCAGAAGAGGCAGCTTTGATTTTGCAAGCGTTGGGTTTTGATAAAGATATACAAATATATATTGCATCTGGTGACATTTATGGAGGTGAACGTAGGCTTGCTTCTTTGAGAGCTGCCTTCCCAAAAATTGTAAGTGATTATTTGTATCTGTTGCTGGGACATTTAAACTACCAGTTTTAGGGCTGTGTCTTAAACATTTATCCGAAACCTGTTGCATGGAATAGCGAACATGTGCCTTAGCCAACATTCTTGTAGTCTATTGCATATATTGAGGTGATGAGCAACTTGGACAGTGATCTCTGATACAAGTATTCTGTTCATTGAATAACCTGACATTCTTTGAGACATTTGGTAGCCTGGAAATGTGCTCAAAATGTTCTACGTTTTGTACTGCCAGTTTTTTTATTGCTGAGGACTTCATTGCGACTAATTTCTGGACACTATGAGCTAATTATCCTTCTTACCTATTATGTTTAATAATAGGTGAAAAAGGACATGCTGCTAAAACCTGGGGAATTGCAGCATTTCCAGAATCATTCATCTCAGATGGCAGCCCTGGATTTCATCGTTTCAACTGCTAGTAATGTATTTGTTCCCACTTATGATGGGAACATGGCTAAAGTTGTTGAAGGTCATCGTAGGTACATATTACCTACTGCGCTGGAAATGATTCCATAACATTAACAACATTATGAAGGCATTTCTGATTATATTTTGCAGGTATCTTGGGTTTAAGAAAACCATTCGATTGTATCGAAAAAAACTGGTAGAGTTATTAGATTTGCATCAGAACGGAACACTTACATGGGATGAGTTTACAGCTACAGTCCGGCAATCACATGAGGGACGAATGGGACAACTGGCTCGACGCAGAGTCATTGCAGACAAACCAAAAGAAGAAGATTATTTTTATGCAAATCCACAGGAGTGTCTGTGTGAGAGTAAAACCTGTGATGACTTGTTTGGGCCTGATAATTCCACTGCTGTCCAATGAAATGCAATTCAGGGCATGTCTTCCATGGGTAGTTACTCCATAGTAATGCACAGGTGTTTTGTGAAGAAAGCAAAGGGAAAGGCGTAAAGTTGTTGGTATGCACAATCCAGATCTGTGGCCAAAGGGCTGAAATGCGGCCTTCAGTCGTCAGGGCATTTTGGAGAGGTGTTTTGTCATAGATATGTAGTCTATAACTGGGAGAAGCAGGAGGGAAAAAATGAAGAAGCCAAACGTGTCATACTTGTCAAAAAGAAAAGAAGTGCCATGTTAATGTGTTCATTCATTTTGTTCATATGTTTTTACTCTCTTCCACAAGTTGGACAGTGTTGATTGTGCTTGATACCACAGTTTTTTACAGGAATATAACCTTTTTTTACAATCAAATGCTCTAAAATGTGGAGCAAAGAGATGTAACAGTTTGTTCATTTATCTAATTGTCATGCCCAAAAAAGGGTACTTGGAGAAAATTCGAATTGTGTGCTGAGAAGTCAAATAGCTAAGTTGAGGTTCTTATAGGAGCGTATATACTTAAAATTCTAGATCCGCCTTTGCCTTTGAAGTCCAAGCTGTTATAACTCAACTAGAATGCTCATAAGGTCAGCAGAGAGTTCCTTACTTTGGCTCTCCAACAAGATCAAGATCTTTAAGCCTCCTTTCTTGGTAGTACTCTAATTCATCTAGTTCCAGTTCTCTTTCTCTAAAAATATCGTCGAGTTGTTGTAAAACCTTCTTCTCCCCTGCTCTCACCCCTACTGCTATCTGAAGCCTTGAACTGAGGTTCCCTTCCTTCATCAGTTTCTCATCCTACAATAATCATTGTGTTCAATGCCAAAAGACAATACATGTACTACGTAATGGAGATAAAAATAGTTTTATTCATATGATTCAGAGTCCAGATACCATAGTATTTAGCAGAATGCTTCAAAGAAGGCGACAATGAAGACATGGACAACCAAAATATAGTAAGACAAGAGGAATGACAATGCCATACCTCTTCAATTGTGGTGTGATATCCAGAAAGTGCAGATCTGCATGAATCTCGTACAACTTTACATATGAGCTCTTCGTTTGCTCTGCTGACAGGCAACTCGAGAAGATTCCAAACAGCATTTCCAGAAATTGATTCTATTAGGAAATTATCAGTTCCACCAAGGGCAACCAGCCTAAGATATGGAAATAGAGAAGGAGGGAGAGATTGTCCAAGTTTTATGTCAAAGTCAGCAGTTTCTCCTAGGCCATTTGACTCTGCTATATCCAGCTTGTCCCCATAAAAATCGTCAGTCTTTGATATTTCCAATGTTAATGTAAATGCATCACGAGCTGAGTTTGGTTCGATGAAGCCATAGCCAATAGCCATATCAGCATTGCTTTTATTCAAGCCATATTGGATAAGAAACTGTCAAAAACACATCTGTTATGTACCACTTTGGTACGAGTACATTAAAGGTTTTAGTTCTAACAGAAGTACTTCAAATCTTCAATCAAATATACGAAGCAAACAAGGCCTCCTATAGACTCTTAACAGATGATCCAGCAAAAATGCTACATAATGCATGAAATTATGAGCTAGGAAGTAATGAATGTTTTTATTCAAAATGTTGGAATTTGTATGACCAATAGCAGAATGACTTTTTTTTTGAAAAACTCAGCAAGCCTTACCTGATCACCAGCCTTCAGTTTCAATGGACTTTGAAAAGAAAATAACAAGTCCCAGGAGAACAGACCTGCTGGTCCCCCAATTTCATGGATATGATCTTCTGTGGTCACTTTGACACTGTGGTTTGCCTGATAAGTAAACCATTTGTATAACATTATTCACCAATCGATAGCCAAAAACGTTGGTGAAATACTATATTGGAATTTGGAAAAGAACTTCAACAAACAATGAAATTCTGACAACAGTCCTCAGACTCTTTTAATACTCGTTTCTAACTGAAGCTAAAGCTTTCATGTCTATATAGGTTCATTTGATCATCAACATACTTTTGAATCAATCTTGTAACTAAGATGAATTTATTCTGAATCCAACACTTCCTCCTTTTCATTGTGGGCTTCTTATAAGTAGTCATTCATCACTAGAATTGCTCATCTAAGTAATTTTGTTTACCTAAAATCTTACCAGGTCAGCAAAGGGGACCAGCATTAGATTTTGAATCCCACCACGGGAAAACGCCCTTGATCTGAGTATTCCAAATGCCCAGAAGAAATCATCCAAGGTTATAGGAAAAGGGAAAAGCTGCTTGTTACCAAGTATGACTTGTTCTTCCACTTTTTGAAATTCATTTTGCACATACTCTTTCACACTCAACGTTGTGCATAAAAGTTGAGTTCCTGCAAATGATAGCACGGCAAACATGCAACATCACATTTATTATCACAAGTACTTAGAGAACTTAACATCTCACTTAATCAAAACATGCAACATCACATATCTTACCTAAGGGCAGTTTCAACTTTGCTTAGAGACAGTGCCAATGTGCCATCCCACTCTACTTATTTGACTATGGAGTATAATCAACAGAATCACACAACAGTTCTATATAAAAGGCATGCCAATCTCTATAACAAAGTCATAAGGTATCATAATTCACAGGTTACATGAAAACAATCAAGTAGCCTATAGCTACAACATACAAGATTGCATCCAGTGTAGAAACAAGCTTCAAGAGATTGTGTAACCATATAGAGTTAAAAAATAATTTACAATGTTAGTATATATAACTTAACTCCATCATGAACACAAGAATCTGAAATTTTCCTATTAAAGGCATGTTTTACAAGGAAACAAGTTTACCTTGAATCTCAGAGAGCTCCCCTTCAGACCTGCACTGAAAGAACATACCAAGCAACATCAGCAACACAACTTCAAAAGAAAAAAATATTCATAAAAACTGTAAAGATAATGATATGACACTTGAGCCTAACTCAACCCCAAAAGCTAGTTCATGGGTAGAAGAGTGCCCAAGACCATATAAACAAATCATCCCTCGAACCAATGTGGGACTCTAACCCACTCTTACACTCCCTTTCACATCCAGACGCATCTCGAGTGTGGACCGGAAGCCCAAACGGGATGGACTTGGTTTCGATACCATGTAAAGATATGACAATTGAGCATAAGTCAAACTCAAAATCTAGCTAATGAGGGACTCTAATCCAGCCTAACAACAAGAAGGAAATAAATAAATTTAAAGGCAGACCCACCAATATATAGTGGAATCAGTAGACTCTGGAAGAACAGCCATGTAATATTTCCACTTGGAATCATCTTTCCATTTCTCTCTCAACAAGAAAAGAGCAAGAGAAATCCAAGGTTCTAATCCAGTACACACATTCCCAATTTCAGATTCTGCAACTGCATCTGTGTTGATCCAGAACCTTTTAGGCACTCCTAACACTGTTTCCCCTTTTGAAATATCTCTCTTAGCAACTAATCCTAAACCTTCTGCTACAATTCCTGGCTTTACAGGTGTCTTTATTGATACAACTCCTTCATCACATAGCCACTTCCAGAATGTTTGGACTGGTTGTGGGATTTTTGGGTCAAGTTCTCTTAACTGAAATGAATTTATCAAGAATGGTTTTTGAGAACTCTGTAAAGTTTGAAGCTTTATTCTTAATTTTGTGGTTTTGAGTGGACAGAGGAAAGAAGAAGAGAAAACAGAAGCCATTTTTCACTTTAGCTTACTTGGTTCTACAAATGTTATCTCATTTGTTCTTTAATGATTGCAGAATGAAAAAGGACTAAAAAAGAGATGAATAATACTTAAATGGTTGTAATGTTATGCAGTTGAAGCATTGTATATTTATCCTAGTCTCAGAAACAAATGACTGGTTATGGTTAGCTTTGAGGTATGGTCATGGAACTTAACTACAAGACAAAAAAGTGGTGGTTTAATTAGAGCAGTCCATCAGGCATTCATTGGACTAGTACGACACTGACTCGTTATCCTTCCACTGCACAGAGCGGGAGCTATTCGTTGCTCTGTGAAACCAACCTCACACAGTCCACCCCAGTTTAGTAGCCCAGCAGCCCAAGCCTCGCCATAGACTACGGGACCCAACTATGTGCTTGGATAGGGCAGGCCAGAAAATTGCCACACATGCCCAAGCCTTTGCCATAGACTACGGGACCCAACTCTGTGCTTCGATAGGGCAGGTACACTAATGCCCCCACTTGAGTTACCAGTCCACGGTACTGAGCTCGGAATTATGAGTTATGCTCCCTGCACAAATAAAGAGGCAAATACCTTTATTTATCAGCGATGTGGGAGAGCACTTAGGGAAAAAAAAGATTAATTATGTCAGGAATAGAAAATTTGTTATTAATACAACAATAATATAACCAGGGAAATTTCACAAGTCATATTTGGGACTGGGAGGGTAGATTATACACAAATTTTACTATTATGCCTAGAGGTAGAGAGATGGTTTCAAAAGACCCTCAACTCAAGTGCAACAAAGTAAAAGAAGAAGAAAATAGCGAGGCAAACATAACAACTAATAATGAAAGTATTGCAGAGCCTACAAGAAAGGAATAATAACAACAAAATAATGTGATTATCGAAACACAATAAAAAAGATATTATGATAGATATTTTATTTTAATTAACTTAATAAAATAAGGAAGATAGAAAAGGTCTTGTCTTAACTGATTAACAACCTCATCTGGAAATCTAGTTACTCTGAAATCCAGTAGAACCAAACCAAGCTAGCTAAGAGGGAAACAAAGCTAGAACAAATGGCTTCTGTTTTCTCTTTACCCTCTTCATCTTTCCTCTGTCCACTCAAAACCACAAGATTCAGAACAAAGTTTCAATCTTTACACAGTTCCCCAAAACCATTCTTGATAAACTCACTTCAGTTAAAAGAACTTGACCCAAATATCCCAGAACCAGTCCAAACATTCTGGAAGTGGCTATGTGATGAAGGGGTTGTATCAGCAAAGACACCTGTAAAGCCAGGAATTGTACCAGAAGGTTTAGGATTAGTTGCTAAGAGAGATATAGCTAAAGGGGAGACAGTTCTAGAAGTTCCTAGAAGGTTCTGGATTAATCCAGATGCAGTTGCAGATACTGAAATTGGGAATGTGTGTACTGGATTGAAACCTTGGATTTCTGTTGCTCTTTTCTTGCTTAGAGAGAAATGGAGAGATGATTCAAAGTGGAAATATTACATGGCTGTTCTTCCAGAGTCTACTGATTCCACTATATATTGGTGGGTCTGCCTTCAATTTGCTTTTTTTTTTTTTTTTTTTTTTAATTTTATGAATAATTTTTGCTTGCTTTTCCCAAGGTAGGTGTAAGGTCTGCAGATTGAAGGCAGATTTTTGTGTAATTTTTGCTTCCGCTGACCTCACTTGTGTAATTACATTGGATATGTTGTTATGAAAAATTATTTTTGGAAGTTGTATTGCTGATGAAGGTTGCTTGATATGTTCTTCCAGTGCAGGTCTGAAGAGGAGCTTTCTGAGATTCAAGGTAATCTAATCTGCTTTACTATGTAAAATCAAAACCTTAAATAGGAAAATTGCAGATTTTTGTGTTCATTCACTGTGTGCCACGTGCCACCCACACCATCTGAGTATTTTATGGAAACCGAAGCCCACAACTAGCTTTCTTTTTGTATGTGTGTGCTCGTAAGGGGAAGTAAATCGAGCTCCACGCCATTGTATAAACATTTTTGGACTGTGCAGTATGTAGAACTTAAACTCTAGTTTTATTACTTAAGTGCCTTGCCCTATGACAAAGTACTCTAAACTGCAGCCTTCCCCTTGTATCTCTACAAGAGTACGTTTTCACGCCTTAAACCCATGACCTTTAGGTTACCAAAGGAGCAACTGTATCATCGCGTCATGGCAAGTCCTAGTTGCTTATATTGTTAGTCTTAAAATTTTGGACTATTGAGAGTTATCATATGGTTACAGAATCTCTTGAAGTTTGTTTCCGGCTTTGGATGCAATATTTTATATGGTAGGCTAGTTTATTTTTTTTTGTTTTTTGAAACTGGTAATGTTGATATAGTAGGCTAGTTTATGGTTTTCATATAACCTATGGAATTGTGATCCCTTATGACTTAGTTAGAGATACTGGTAATGCCTTTGTATAGGGTTGTTACATGATTGTCTTGATTATATTCCATAATCAAATATGTAGAGCGTGATGGCATTTTCTCTAACGATGATGAAATTGCTTGTTGCTAGATAAGAAATGTGATGTCCCTTGTTTGATTAAGTGAGAATATGGGAGTTTCAGGTATTTGTGATTCATTTTGTTTGTCATGCTATCATTTACAGGGACTCAACTTTTAAGCACAACATTGAGTGTGAAAGATTATGTGCAAAATGAATTTCAAAAAGTGGAAGAAGAAGTCATACTTCCTAACAAGCAGCTTTTCCCTTTTCCCATAACCTTGGATGATTTCTTCTGGGCATTTGGAATGCTCAGATCAAGGGCATTTTCTCGTCTTCGGAATCAAAATCTTATTCTGGTTCCTTTTGCTGACCTGGTAAGATTTTAGGTAAATGAAAACTACTTAGATAAGCAATTGAAGTATTTTAATGATGACTGACTGCTCATAAGAAGCCTACAATGGTGAGGCTCTGGCTCTGTGCACCTGCAGTAAATGTTGTTAGAATTTCATTGTTATATAACATTTCATCATTTTTTTAGCTATGATGGATTGGTGAATAACGTTATACGAATGGTTTACTTATCAGACAAACCACAATGCCAGAGTGACCACAGAAGATCATGCCCATGAAGTTAGGGGACCAGCAGGTCTGTTCTCGTGGGATTTGTTATTTTCTTTACGAAGTCCATTGAAACTGAAGGCTGGAGACCAGGTAAAGCATACTGAGTTCTTCAAAATTCAGAAACTATCTTCACTAGAGAACAAGTCATTCTGCTATTGTTCATTGAAAAGCTAATATTGTGAAAACAATTATTCATTACTTCCTATCTCATAATCACATGCATTATGTAGCATTTCAATTTGATCATCCGTTAATGAACAATAGCCAACTTGGTTGATTTTGACAGCTTTTCATCCAATATGACTTGAACAAAAGCAATGCTGATATGGCTCTTGACTATGGCTTCATCGAACCAAGTACTTCAGCTCGTGATGCATTTACGCTAACTTTGGAAATATCAGAGTCTGATGATTTTTATGAGGACAAGCTGGATATAGCAGAGTCAAATGGCCTAGGAGAAACTGCTTACTTTGACATAAAACTTGGACAATCTCTGCCCCCTTTTCTGATTCCATATCTAAGGCTGGTTGCCCTTAGTGGAACTGATGCTTTCCTACTAGAATCAATTTTCAGAAATGCTGTTTGGGGTCATCTTGAGTTACCTGTCAGCAGAGCAAATGAGGAGCTCATATGTAAAGTCGTACGAGATGCATGCAAATCTGCACTTTCAGCCTATCACACCACAATTGAAGAGGTATGTTTACATCACTAGTTAATTGTGTTACTAAGACATTGTCATTGCCTCTTGTCCTACTATATTTTAGTCGTCCATGTTTTCATTGTCGCCTTCCTTTAAAGCATTCTGCTAAATTCTATGGTATCTGGATTCTCAATCTTATGAATAAAACCACTTTATGGCATTGAACACAACAATGATTGTAGGATGAGAAACTGATGGAGAAAGGGAACCTCAGTTCAAGGCTTCAGATAGCAGTAGGGATAAGAGCAGGAGAGAAGAAGGTTTTACAACAAATTGACGATATCTTTAGAGAAAGAGAATTGGAACTAGATGAATTAGAATACTACCAAGAAAGGAGGCTTAAAGATCTTGGTCTTGTTGGAGAGCAAGGGGATATCATATTTTGGGAGCCAAAATAAAGACTTCTGCTGATCTTATGATCTGTCTAGTTGAGTTATATTACAAGGTCAATTTTTATTTGATGTAAATAATGAAATTACGAGCAGTTTCTTATCGTCTTCTTGTGAAGATCCTCAAACATCAGAAGGAGAAAAGTTGAAAAAACAACCTCAGATATCTCTAGGATGTAGAATTTGATTGAGGAGATCACTATCTTCCTATTCGGTCTCTCATCTAAAGCTGTTATTTTTTTAAATGATTTTTCTGCACTTCTATGCTTCCTCACCCAGACCCCACTTGTGGGATTACACTAGGCATGTTATTGCTTGCTGTTCTATGCTTGTACTTTTAAACAGAAGAAGATGCACTAGAAAAGATGAATATATGGTCATCAAACTCAATTTAGCTATCTGATTTCTCAGCACACGATTCGGATTTGCTTCAAGCACCCTTTTTGGGCATGACATTTAGATAAATATTCAACAGTTACATCTCTTTGCTCCATATTTTAGAGCATTTGATTGTAGAAAGGGTTATATTCCTGTAAATAACTGTAGTATCAAGTACAATCAGCCCCGCCATTGGTCCCTCGTGACTGCCGGACTGCAGCTGTAAACTCATCCCATGTAAGTGTTCTGCTCTGATGCAAATCTAATAGCTCTATCAGGCATGTCAAATGCCTTTATGATGGTTGTTAATGTTATGGAATCGCGATTTCCCCGGGTTCTAGCAGCATTTCCTTTACCAGCTGATATTTAAGCACATAATCATAGCCATGCCAGTCACATAATTAGTACTAGCAGATAATGAAACAACTAACTAGAAAAAGGAAGAAAGAACAACATTTTCTTTTTTCTTCTATTAAGCATAATTAATCCCTTTATCCCCAAGTGCTCTCCCACATCGTTGATAAGTATAGCTATTTGCCTCTTTATTTTTGCAAGAAGCAGTGTTCACATTGCCGAGCTCAGTAGCGTGGGCTTGTAACTCAAGTGAGGGCATTAGTGTGGTGGAATGTTGAGCATGTTCAGAAGGTAGGGCTTGTGTAACAATTCTCTGGCCTGCCCTGTCCAAGCACAGAGTTGGGTCTTGTGGTCCAAGCGAAGGCTTGGGCTGCTGGGCTCCTAAAGTGGGGTGGACTGCGTGAGGCTGGTTTCACAGAGCAACGAATAGCTCCCGCTCTGTGCAGTGGAAGGATAACAGGCCAGTGTCATACAAGTTCATTTGAATGTCTGATGGGCTGCTCTAATTAAACCACCACGTTTTTGGGCTTGATTTCTAATTCTAGCAAGTTACAGTAATCTTTTTGTTTATCCTTTTTGTTTCAGGAAAATAGGGAAGTAAAATGTTACAAAACGCCAAAGTAACTTGGCTTTTCTTTTTTTACGATAAGGAGCTTTCAAAAATGATTATAGTTTGAGCTTAACTAGAATTCGATAGTTACAGTTGACATAATTATGATCCATAACTACATGTAAGAAGTAGGAGAGAGGTGATCGAGATTTGAGAGAGGATGAACACATGTTGTATTCATTGTATCATAAATACAATTGATTTGTATCAAATGTATTTGTTCCTTGTGTATTCACTCAATATCAACAAACACAACTTGTATCAACAAATTACAAGCATATATGTTTGATTTCCCACCTTGTTATCTCCTCCCAAATTTCCCCTACCCCTGCGAGTGATTTGGTTTGACGGGCAAAATTGTGTTATGTCCAATTACCCCACAAGTCAGCCGCTATTAGGCAATGAGAATGATATACGCAACCAGAGGCAAAGAGATACAATACACAATATAAGCAAATTTAAAAAAAAAACATTGTCATTTCGAGTCTCAGAACCAAATGAAACTGAATATTTACAAACATCAGACTGCTAAGAGCAGCTCAAAAACACATGGACAGAGATGGAAAGGTTGGTTGAAATGAGGGCATTATACAGATTTTGGGACAAAATCCTCAAACGGTCTCCAGAGCCTGAAGGATATAAGCCAATCCACAAGTAGAGCAAGAACACACAAGAATCTCAACTCAAAGATAAGCCAATCAGGGTAAATCATGATTGCCACGAAGCAAAACAATGATACACAGTATTAATAGTTCAATATGACTAGGTCATAGACCAGCAAAACTAAGATCGAAAGAGCTGTTTAAGATGCAAGCACCAAAAAGGATAAATAGCAAGTAAAATAGACCATATTGTAGCTTCTAGCATACCACAGCACCAGATTGCACACAACACAAAATGAAAATACGACTATGACAGGGACAAATTGATGAACTCTGTAGTATACATGACATTGGAAGTATGCAGCCAGGGAGGGGAATTTGAATTTCTGTTCATATCAGTTCACAGGTATTGCATTGGTATTTTGTATGATGGTCGTTACGGATAGCCTCATCTGTAAGAAAAATAAAATTTTAATGTGTTTGGAGCACAACAGGAGCAGATCTCTTGAAACGCTACTTCATAATGTAAACAAACTATCTTCTTCTAAAAAGGAGAAGGTAAGAGAGATGCGAGCTATCTAAAAGATGATGAGATTCAATCAACAAGGAAGAAATGAGATATAATGAGCTAAAGAGATTAAAGAACCTAAGCAAAAGTCATATGAAGAGCACTAACATAAGCCCCAGTTTATCAGCTAATCTGCTTGATACACACTTCCTGGAGCACAGTGCTGAATGCAGGTGTAATGTTAAGCAGCAGTAAAAGCCTAACCATATTTTTCCAACATAAAACGGCATTTTCCTCTGGGTATGGGAACATATATTCTCCTCGGAATATCTGGTTGTGAAGCAGCGCAACAGGATGCACTTCTTTTTATAGTACAGTGCAGAGGACAACATCAGTGGCTTAAAATGCATTGCACATGCAGATACCAACCATTATGACGATATCATGGAACCTTTTGGTAGCATACATTACAAAAGATCAAGCGATTAACAGCAGCAGCAGGATACAACCAAAAACCTACTTCATTTGTACTGTCAAGTCTTCAAACGAAATCAATAAAAGCTATAGATGGTAAGGATGTATATATTTACAGTTTAGGAACTTGAGATTCTTGGAGGCAACAGCACTGAAAGACTGGGTCTACCCTTTACTTTTTCTGGCGTACTATATTCACAATTTGTCTTCAGTCCAACAATTGAAAAAACAAAAACTCATGTACTGCAACGGATAAGCAAAGAAGTTGAGTTGATATCAAAGACTCAAACTTTATCAGTATTAGGAAAGGTAACTTTTGTTAAGCAAGAACCTTTAGAACCACATAGTTTGTCTTTTAGAAAACTTAAATTGTCTAAAACATGGGATTGATGTCATTGACGAGTAAATAGAACAATGTCTCACTTTATTATACCATATTAATATTAAGATAACTTTGATAAGATATATGACTGGCTCATGGATCTTAACAACTGATAGTAGAATGTAACAAGATGCAATAACATTACCGTAGCTCTACAAATGCAATATTGCATTCTTATCTTGCTCAGTCTGTTTCCAGCTGAACACACAGAAAATAGAGAGTTATCTCACTGGTCTTCAAAAGATTCAAACCAATAACCAATTACCAACTAGTACTCAGATCAAATTTCTTTTGAGACAGTTGAAAGTCAAAACCTTGCAGAAAAAAAAGAAATAGATACTCCAAAACTGATGAAGAATACAGATAGGTCAATCCATCTGATTTTCCTTAATGCATCCACACTTTTTTCCTCAGAATTAATGCATTTACACATAAATCAACAACTAATATACTAATTCCAACAGCAATAAACTAACATCAAATTCTTATTTATCGAAAAAAAAAAGACAGAAATTGCAGATCAAGAGTTGAAGGTCATAGCTGGAAGATTTCTTCTGCTCATTCCAGCATCATTATATCATAAATCAGAAGAAACTATAGTTTACACCAAATTTTGCTGAGTATACAAAAGATGCAAGACAAATGCAACTAATTATTCAGTTCATGAGAAACCATATAATGTTAAAATTTGAGGCAACTTCAGTACAATTATTGGACTATTCTCTTCCCTCAATTCAAAAGAATCTCCCAGTTTCCACTTTTTAATTATCAAAATCACCTATAACATCCCAAGCAAAAAATATCATTTTTTTTCTGATTCTGCAGACTTACTAGCCTCTGCTTTAACTAAGAAGTATTTGAACTCCCTTCCAATTTGGTGTCTGATCCGGTGTCGTTGCCTTCATTTCCTTGCTCCTTCTGCTTCTCCTTCTCCTTCTCCAATTCAGCCTCTGCAGCTTTCTCAGCTTGTAATATAGGAGCATAATAGTCAGAGTGCACCTCCATACACTTCTTCAAAGCAGAAGTAACCTCAAAACACTTTTCCACTATATCCTCTTTGTTCTTCTCCCCCTCTTCAATACATTTTTCCCAGTCAATAAAAGAGTCTTTACAACCTCCCCCTTTCATAAACAAGCAAAAGCCACATTCACCCTCCTCCTCTTCTTCCTCATCGTTTCCAATTTCTTCTTGGTCTTCCTCCTTAGGTTTTTGGGTTTCATCCGTTTCAGCTTGATGGGTCTCTTCAATTTCAGATTTTGATTCGTGGGTCGGTGAGGAAGACATGGTGAGGATTGTTGAATTTGGGGGAGCTAGGGTTTGAATCTGAAAGCATGCAAGTAAAGTTTCCCAGGCTGCTCATAAACCTCTTCTTAAACCCTTTTTTATTACTTTTAGGACATTATTTATTCATTTATTTAGAAGAAAGTCAGGTCAATGAAAATTATTAATGCCAAATAAAAGAACTGTTTTTTTTTTTCCAGGGTTGGCACAACATGACAAGACAACTAGTATCTTCTAGATAAAAAAAAAAAATTACCCCTAGCAATGGAAAAGGAAAATACGGCTTGCTAAATGGTTTAAAATCGTCCACAAAAGGAATGTCATAACATATGAAGTTTGGGAACATAACAATATATTAGCTCAATGAATTTGGTAGCCTAATGCCATTAGATATGTTTGATTTTTCTTCTTCTTATTGATCATTCACTTGGTTATGTAGTTCGAAATCATTCTCAATTATGAACAAATGCAACACGTGTGATAGTATTCACTATCTTCGACTTGAATAATATACAATCAAGAAATTTTTAAAACTAGTATATTCTCAACAATGTATTCTTTCTCTCCCTCCTTGTCACTGCACATCTTGCCTTGTTCTGAAATCTGCCTGGTTTTTTGTGTGTGAAAATTAAGCTCTTTCACACGCGTTCTACTCTTGGTGTCTACCTTTAAGCCCAGAAATGTAACAACTTCTTGAGCTTAGATAGCAAATGTTGTATATCAGACAACATTTGACATGTGAACTCTTCATGATGAATGACATTTGCCGTTTGCTAAAGTTTGGCAGTTGCTAGCACTCTGATAAGGTAATGGGGATAGATAAATGTTCATCTTTATTCTTCTTTGTGATCATCCTCTTCATGGTACGCGAAAGGAAGTGGTACTGACTTGAATGCCCGGTATTTCCCCACATTGTTCAGGTGCTCATTTTCCAACCTGATAAATTACAATGTATATATCTCAGTTCACGTACAATTATCAACAAGATTGTACATGGACAGCAGAACTGCTGTGAGCTGTCCAATGTTAATTCACAGAACTTCAAAGATGATAGATACGTCAATACACAGTTTTTCTGCAAGTCATTATAAGTTGGGAAAAACTGATCCAAAAGAAAATGTGGCATGAGAGATTGCAATACCTGAAAAAATTCCACATGCCACGTCGAATCACTTCTAAGCAAGCAAATATGCTTGAGACAGTACTTCCTTGCAAAGAGTGCACGTTGAATCTTAATACCAGTTGTAGCCAGGCAAATCTGAGCAAAACATCCAAGACCTGTGAGAACAAAAAAGTTAAAAAGAGTAGGTAATAGCTCATCTTAAAATGAATTGGAACAACTTTATTGTCATATGGAAGTTACCATGGCTGTGAAGTATATACTTTTATGGTGCAGTATGAGCTTATCCCGCAAGAACTTGTTCTTGGACTTCCTTCTCAACAGCCCCCAATCGACAACTATATCCCAGTATGTGTTGAAAAGAGTTGTGATAAGTGAGCTCAGTATAACCAACACCTCCCAAGTCAAACTCTTTCTCAGTACATAAGCTGTTTTAATAACGACTGCCAGAATTGTCAAAAAGTATCTCAAGCCATTGTATGCCTGTGCTTGATCCTTTTCTTCAAACAGTCGACGGACACACTACAGTGAAAGCATAAGCATCTTTAAGTCTACTGTAAAGGAAAAAGATTCCATTCTTGAGTGTTGAAAGAAATGGCATAAAGATACTATTAAGTTATATACAGTTGTCCCACATGGGTTATGTAAGAACTTTCAAAGGTGTATATATAATATTTAACTTCCATCCTTTGCTTAAAGGTTTTGAGTTGAATGTTATATTCTTTCACATGTTATCGGAGCTAAAATTTGCAAACCCATATTAGTTTGACTAGCAGTAACAAAAATTGAAGGAAAAGAAACTATAGGAGAAATACTACGACTACCAGTAACAGAAATTGAAGGAAAAGAAACTAGGAGAAATACTACGACCCAATATGGAAAGATAAACAAGACCCAACTCTACTACATAGTAACCTTCTACCCTAATTTGTACCCTCCACAACCTCCTATCTAAGGTCATGCTTTAGATGTGCAGATTCGTTCACAGATATCATAGGGGAATTCTAGGTTCAATGCTGATGAAAATTTCAATTTAGAAACCATTTACACCCTTAACCATGAGTCATTTCATTGCCGAGGCTTCAGTTTTCAGTAGAAGCAAGAGATATATGTTATTAGTACATTATGGAGAAGATTAAAATATATTAAGAGAAGCGAGTTCCTAACAGAAGATGATTTATGCTTAAAGCCACCAAGGATATAGCTGAGCAAGAGATGTTGGATTTTCATAAATTGTGAAAACAATCTAGAAGATGTCCCATGTCCTAGAAACAAAACACAGGCAGGGGGAATCACAAGAGATGAAAGGAGGATGGAAGATCCTTAGTGGCACTCATCTTTTCATATACACAATTTACAGTAATGAACTAACAATCAAAAGTTGTTGTCAAACCTGAAAAAACCGAAACCAATATGGTATGATAGCTAGAATGAAGTAAAATATGTTATAGACATTGTGACTTTGGCACATATTATGTCCATGCGAAGGTTTAATCCAAGTATAATAGCAAATGTAATACTCCAAACTCCTTATTGCTTCAACCTGTATTATGTAGGAAGTTAAAACCACTACAACAACTAAAAGACGAAGTAGAAACTAAACTGTACAATGTCAAGAAGTCACAGAACCTGGCTAGTCAGCTGGTCTGCTAGAAAGAAATCTGGAAGAGTAACCTGCACAAAATGAGAATTTAAAGAGAGAGTTAGCCCATCTGGATATAACTATATAGTTTTGATTTACGACTCATTATCTGTTGAATATACCTTGTAAAGAGGAGCACAGATACAGCGGAACACGCATCTTATAAGGAACCAACGACTTGAGCGATAAATGATGTTAAACGGGCAGAAAGTAATGGAAAGAAGTACCTGCATAGAGAATTATCTTTGGTGAAAGAAAGTAAATACAGTAGAACTGATCAGTCAGAAAGCTCTAAAATCTTACCATTATCAATCCCAGAGGAACATATTCAATATGTGTACCATACACTTCAGCTCTTGAATTCATGTGCAGATGCATCAGGAGAGCGGCAAGGACGAGCATTGCTAGACCATTGCTAAGAAGAAAGACTTCCCTATAGCTTAACTCGGTCCCTTGCTTGAAACCAAAGATAAATGCATAGTTGATTTTGTAGTGCCTCCAGAAATATATGTTTGCAGCATATAAAAGCATATGCAACACAATGTATGCATAAAAACTGCCAGACAATTCAAAACTCTTCTCTAGTCAAATTACAGGCTCAGGAAACCCCAAGTATGGTTTTTCATTATGCTGGTATTAGGTATATTCGCATAGAAAAGAGTTTAATCCTCCCTTACCTGTAAAGTGGAACTATCTTGTCCAAATAAGAGGTGCCTTCATCTTTATCTATCAATTTTCTGTCATCTCTTAATAGAATTACAGCAACTAGTAGAGCAATTGAGCAACCAGAAAAGAAGCCTGAAAATTGTGAATGATAAAATTTGAAATAACGCGAAGGACCAAAATATAAAGGGTACTATAAAATGCAAAAAAGACGAGATCATATCTAAAAAAAAAAAATGACTGTTCAATCAGTTCTGTACAACATATATTTGTATTACTTGCCTGACATGAATGTTATACGATGTTTTTCTCTTTTATGCTTTGGCCGCAATATCTTCATACCTTCTCTGCGGTTCGACTGCGAAAAATGCTTGATGAAGGTGGTCTCCACCCTGTCCAGAAGACTGGTAACCTATAGAATGGCATGATACCATCAATGATGTAACAGTCAGTTTCAAGTAAAACACTATGATAAAATTCTCGTTTTTTTACAAGAACAACATAATCCTAATGGTGGAAGGATAGATCAGACTAACCTCCTCAGAGCTCCCAAGATAAGAGTTATCCACCATTTTCAAGTATGATCTTGCTGCTTTTCTAGATGTAATCTGCACTTGGGAAAAGGATCCAAAATTTCAGGATTTTAAGCTCCTTGGCTACAGACTGCAGCATTCCTGGAACTTGCTTAAAATGTTGCTTTCACTTATAGCTAATACTCCCTCCTTTACAATTTATTTGTCTTTCCTTTTTAATCGTTACAGAAAGATTGTCTCTTTCCTTTTTGGCTACTCTTTAATTTCAACTTTCCACGACATATTTTAAAACCACAAGATTAAAGGGCATTTTGGTATATTCTATATATCTTTATTTCAAGACTATAAGATTCAAAAGTCTTTTTTACTTTCTTAAACTCCGTGCCAAGTCAAAACCAGATAAATAAATTGAAACGGAAGGAGTATAATGTAAATGTAACTGAAAGGCAGGCTATTGAAATAAGCTTTTGGTTAGTGAAACCTAACCTTTTCATATTTTTTGAGGATCTTGGAGAACGCAGACAGGTTCATATAGCTGTTATAAGTTCATCCAAGAAGTAGCAGGCCAAATGCAGAGAGCCAGAAAATAATTAAATTGAAAGAATAATTTTGGAAAGGAAATTAAAGCAAGTCAGAATTTAGTTTGCACTACCTGAAGTGTTTTAGATGGCTAAGTTTTTGATAGAACTCAATGAAAATAAGCTTCAGCCTATGTTCAACCTTCTTTAGTTCCTCTTTCTTATAACTCAAATCATTCTCCTTGGATTCGCTCAAGACACCTCTTATAGTTGATATGGGACTTTCAAATGTATTAACAATCTTAACATGATCTAGGATTTCAAGAGGATCTGTTTTTTGTGAATCAGTATCTCTGTTCTCTCTTAAAGAATTGCGGTTGATGGGAAGCTTTGGATATGAAGCATTAGTCATAGAAACCTGTCTTCCATAAGTGGGGTCAAAACTTGGACTGACAGGCATATCATCTGTATCTGCACATTGACAGTGCAGAATCTGAAAATGCACTAGAACCAAATATACATAAACATCATCTGCCCAATCACACAATGAAGTGAAAGATAGTCGTAGAGTTGGGCTATGTAAGCAGATGTAAGCTGCAAGTACTAAGTTGAGATTGGACCTTGTAGCCAACTGAAGGC